ATAGCATTACACTAGAAATATTCTTATAGCAATTATTACACGAGAAATATTCTTATAGCAATACATCAGATACATTATCAAAGCTACAAATGGGGTACATTCTTATAACAAGACATCATGTACATTTTATAGTACATTCATATATCATTACTGTAGATACACTCTTATAGCATTACACAAGGTACATCCCAAAGCATTACACTTAATTCATTCTTACACTAGTAACATTCTTATAGCATTACGCTAGATGATATTTCAAAAATCATACCTGCAGGTATATTTATGTAGCATTTCAGTTATATAGATACAATGGATAAGCGTGGATTCTTGAAAAAGAAACCATGAGCCCGGAGGGCGAATGGTTTGTTTTTCATGAATCTACGCTTATCCATTGTATCTATAACTTAAACTATTGTGTTAATTTCTTTTCAAAATTAAAGCCTTTTCTTAATTAGAAGGTATTGTAAGTGAGTTTAAATAACCATGTTATCGTGTCCAACGATGCATTGATAATTCTCAGATCACAATTAATTGGTTAACAAAATACAAATATAACACTTCTACCTTGAAAGATCTTTATATTATCAGGCATCTGAATATTATCTGTTTTTACAAAATAAGACATTTTCGAACTTATTTCTAATAAAATTGAGAATGGAAATGGGGAATGTGTCAAAGAGACAACAACCCGACAAAAGAGCATATATATAAAGTATATATAATAAGTATGTTACCGAAATTTCTAGCACTCTAGGCACATCACGATTTTCTAGCATAGGAATTTGCGAACAAATATTTGTAAAATTATGTAGTAAAACAGATGAAATCATACTATATTTATACAACAAAAATTGACAAATAGAATGTAATCATTTTTGTTTCAAACATGTGAAATAGCCAATAATAATCCAAAAAATAAACGGTAAAACACGCTATTACATGTATTACAACAATATCCACTATAACATGCAAAATTTGAAAAAAAAAACAGAATTGGGTCAACAGAGATAATACAGGGATTCGAACCTAAACCGACAAATCCCTATCTTTTAACTCGTTGATTTTACCAACTTATACTATACGACTGCCCATTGTGTATATATAAATGTACAACCCCTGTGTGTCCGATGTTCATTTATATATATAAAATAGACATCTAAGTTGTAACCCATTGGTAGCCGAGAGGTTTCGTCGATATGTTGATGTCAGTCATTCATAACAGATTTCAAGGAAGGGTTCGATTCCCAGTGAAGGCATATACAAATTACAAAAATTAAAAGTAAGTTTTTAAATTAATTCCATTAGTGAACAGAAATCAGTAAATTAGCCAATTCAAACTTAATGAAATTAGACACACAAAGGATACAATTGAATATAATTTGGTGAGTCCATTTCAGCGGCAGATTTAGGAAGCGTTGATTCTAGAAAAAGAATCCACGGTAAATGAATAGGCTGACGTCACCACAATAGTTTAACTAGGTATGTTTTTATAACGTGACACTATATACATTCTTTGCAAGACACAAGGTACAAATAACAGTGTAATGCTATAAGAATGCATATAGTGTCTTCTATGAGAATGTTACATTGTCATATCAAGAAACTAGATACATTCTTACAGCATTACACTTTTCAAACATCCAAGTACGCTCTAGATACTTTTTAACCTCGAATTGCTATATCAACGATAGAAATATTTGTATTCTTGGAATTCGCCTGTCCGGCTGCAAAACCCTTGCAAAGTGAGGCGTCCGTTCGGTTAAGCGAGATGTCTAGATACGAAGCCACGTATGGTCGGAATTGACCAGATAAATCCGATGCTTCCTTTAGGGACATTGCCATGCTCTGTGCATGTTAAAAAACCCTTGTTATTACTCTTTAAGTGGGTCCCTCAATGGTCTGTTGCAAAGCAAAATTTCTGCCCCTATTTATCATACCCTTTTTTTCCATTAGGGACTGTGCAATATTTATCAGGCAGGTGGGACCGGTGCAAATTCTGGTTATGACAAAAAAGTAAATGTCCTATACTAATTTGGGCTGTAAAAACTCAATGTCCTATGATTTGCATGCAGAAAAAAGTATGTGTCCTATTATACTACAAACTGCTAAAAAAAAGTCTGAAAAGACCATATTTTAACTTGTCGAGCACAGATTTGACATGACTTCACGTAATCTCGACTGTACTCAAATGTGGTCTCAACATTACTTAATAAATCTGATTGGTCCTGACTCAGTCTTGACCAGTCTCGGCCAATCTCAACTGGTCTTGACCTTTTAATTTATAATCTCGACTGGTCTGAATCGGCCTATCTATCTCAATTATATATTGATCTTAAAAATTCCAGGTTATTTTGTAGTTTGGTTCATTGCTGTCAAATTTAAGGATTTAATTGATAGGTAAAAAAAAGCTAGAATTTTCAGTTCGGACTAAATTCAGATAGTCACCTTTAAAAATTTCTATAAATTTTTCAAAATAACTTGGATTTTCATATAACTCTATAGTAATCTCAATTATATTTTGATCTTACAAAATGCAAGGTTGTTTGGTACTTTGGTCTTTTGCTGTCAAATTTAAGGATTTAATTAATAGGTTAAAAGATAATCACCTTTAAAAATTTGTATTACTTTTCCAAATCAACTTGGATTTTCATAAAACTCCACAGCTAGCTCAATTTTATACAGATTTAACAGAATGCCAGGGTGTTTGGTTGTTTGGTTTATTTCTGTCAAGCTCTTTGATTTAATTAGAAGATAAAAAAAAAGCTACAATTTTCAGTTTTGACTCATCATAGACAAAAATATGTCTGTCTGCTTTAAAAAGACCATAATTTCTTTCTTGAAAACTAGAATAGATAAAGTAACATTGTATATTTGAAATATAAACATGCTCTGTTATTAAGATAGTAATTGGTAATTCAGCATATGATAATATGCTTTCTAGTCTTAGTGTAATTGTCCCTTAATGTCAAATTTTGCCTTTATTCTAAATTAATAGGGTATTTTGAAAAATTGTATATAAGTACATGTATATTAAAGGTGGATGACAAATGTAAATTGCAAATATATAGTATTTTCTTCAAGATAAGATCTGTACAATTATGACAATCATGAAAAAAATATCTGGGAAATTAGATAACAGGTCAAAGAGTCAAATCTATAAAGATACTAAGATGATTATGCAATTTTAAAAAAGAGTTCAAATTCACCTTGAAAGAGTTTCTTCGTTTGATGATTATTACCTTCTTTTTAATGTCCATTTTATTTTGTCTGTTAATTGTTAAAAATGAGTTAATTCATATGAATATGAAAATATCATTATGTCCATGATAATATATTAAAGATAATGATTTAAGCCACAAAAAAAGAGCCGATATATCATACTTGAACATTAACAAAATTTGACAATCAAACAATTACATGTACTATAGTAAATATTATGTAAGTGTGTTACCTATAATTATAAAACACATGTATACTGAGAAAAAAGTTAAGCAGCATATATTATTAATTTAATATATTTTAACAACAAACTATACTTTTAAATATAACAAATAAACATAAGTTGTTTGTTATGATCTAAACTATTTTATTGATTGTACAAATGTTTTGTTTGGATATTTAGTTAATATTTTTCTTTTTTGATATCAATAGTTTGAATAAATCTTCATGTCCTATGGTCTCCAAAGGTGAAAAAAGTGGAAACCCTATGCATGAAGTGGCAGAAAATGTGTTTGTTCAACCATGGTTAGCACCGGTCCTACCTGCCTGATAAATATTGCACGGTCCCTTAACAGTCCAAATTTGCCGTCCTTCATTCTAACCGACCTACTATGCAGAACCAACATACTTTTTTTTGATTTGTTCTCTTTCTGTATATACATACACAATTTGGCACTAACGTTTTAGCAATTAACACCAGTCGATATCAACGCCGAGCTTTGGCTGCCCGGGGTTAAGTGCTTATGACGTCAGTTAGTAGGCCGTATCACTGAACACCGAAATCCTTACTCGGGCGTTTGGGTGACTACGGAGTACAAGCTAGAGTACTAACGAATGGCGGAAATCTATTATGTATGACAAATGATTGTATTTTAGATATTAACTGGGATCATTTATGATTAACGCAAACCACAAAGTTTGTATATATATAATTTACAAATTGATCTGTATTTTTTAAAGTTCGTATAATAACATATATATATTTCATAAGATTCTATACTTTTGATTGACTGACAATAATCACGTGGCATTCCAAAATTACATTTTATTTCTCAATAAAATGCAAAATTCATGACTGCACGTGCTTCCCATTCATACAAATTTTTCATCGATCAACGCTTAATATAACAATAAAATTACAAAAAGAAGTAATCAATTCTTCAATGAAACTTTCAAACTAGTCATTTTAATATTCGACGGGGAGGTAGTACTGGGAGCAGTAGGTTTTTGAAATTTATATTGTGACCTGATCATAACTGGAAACAAATAACTTTGCACCAGACAGGATGAAAAGAAATATTTTGCTAAAAATGCAGGAAAATGCAGGGAACAGTTATGTACCACCTCCCTCACCAACCACACCCCAAGAATATCAAATGGTCGCCCCTAATCATCTTTTTTTCATTACTAATAGTGTTTTTTTCTGTATTAAAAGTATTTTACACTTCGTGACGTTTCGATACTTAATCTAAACATATCATGCATACTTAATGATATTTCATATTCTGTTTTATTATAATAGTAACAACTATCAACTTGCAAATTAATTATTATAACTTAGTATCAGTTTTAAATTGAAATTTCTCGTGGATAAACGCGTGTCACCTAAATCGTCTCTCAAACATCCCAATAATTGCTAAAAGATAATTATCGACTTTGTTGTAGGTAGAATCGACGTATAGCATTGACTTAGCATAGCTTGATACATTTTTCAATTGATTATTTGAAGCCGAACGTTCATTTTTAAGAATATATTTTGAAAACAGAGGTTAAAAATTTCTATGAATCAAATTAGATATAATATCCACTTGTTAAATTTGACTTCACTGGTACATGATATTCAAATGTTTAATTCGACTTCAAATTCAAGCAGTAATAACGTAGTACCGGAAGAGATATATGTATTTTTAGGAGTTTATTTATCTGTGATATGTTTCGTTGGTATTTTAGGGAATAGCACTGCTCTGTTTGTCTTTTTCAAACATGCACACCTTCGGACACGGATCAATGTATTCATCATAGCACTTCTGATCAACGATTTGATTATGTGTGTATTTGGCATTCCTTTATCTGCGGCATCAAATTTTTATGGATATTTTGTATGGGACTTCTCAGTGTGTGTATTTCAAGGATTTATAATGTATTTTGGGAGTATGAGTAGCATGTATATTTTAAGTGCCATTTCATTAAGTAGATACATTGTTATAACCAGACAAATGTCCACCGTAGTTGTTAACAACACAGTAAGCGGCATGATGCTGGCATTTTGTTACATTTTAGGATTATTTTGGAGCGGAATACCGTTTTCGGGATGGACACGATATGAGTATGAGGCTATAGGAACCACATGTTCAGTAGCTTTGGATAGTGCGGACTTCTATGTGCTGAGTTACAATATTTGTATATTTGTATTTTGTTACTTGGTCCCAGTACTAACAATGATATTTTGTTACTGTAAGATCATTCAGACGGTAAGTTGCGTTTTGTTTTATCTAGACTATAAATTTTCTGTTTTTCTCTCTTTCAATTAATACTTATCTGTCCTCAACAAATCAGTCAGGCTCCTTTTTATTATATTTTTTTCGCTTTTTTTTTTATTTCATCAGATTATTATTATTATTATCATTATTATATTCATTATTGTCCATATTCACTCGTCCACTGTAAATGTTACTTCACGTAGGGGACTTTGTATTATATATACCATACCCTCAGAATACTTGTTATCGTTATTTTAGGCCTTATCAAAATGGTATATAGTTTGACATCCTATCAATTTTGTTGAATGATTGTTTCGGGTGCAGGAACAGAAGTTAAAATATATAAGGGAGCTACCATTTGATTTTTATGGGAGAGGGGGAAGGGCTAGGATGAAAAGTTTTGTCCTGCATTTTTTTAGTTGTAACCTCTGTCCTGTCTTTTTATTTTTCACTCTATTGGGTCTTGCCTTTTTTTTTATTAGTTTATCCTGCCTTTTTTTTTGCCAAGTTGCTCATTCTGCCTTTTTTTCAACTCAAAACTCCTGTCCTGCTTTTTTTCTTCAAATTTCATCACATCGAATTATAATTAATATTTAGATTTTAATTGTAAATCTGAAGTACCCTTGAGGTGACCTATAGTTGCTTATTTCTGTGTCGTTGGGTCTCTGATGGAGAGTTGTCTCACTAGCAATCATACCACATCTTCTTATTTTATATTATCGTAATTACGCGAATTACAAACAACGCATTCGTCCTTTATTCACAGGTCAATCATATTAACAGCATAATAAAAGTCAATTAGCTTAAATAATAATCAATAGCAATTGCCATTGCATATTCATGAATGAATATTCCTTTCGTTAATTGCTTTGTTAATGGACACACCTGTTGTCTTATCGGGATTTCCGGCTTTTTTACAATTTTCATCCTAAGCCAAATTGCTGTTACAATAATCCTATATAGAAGGTAGAAAAGTGAATTATAAAGAAAACACTGTTAACCCGATAAGACTAACCGTTCGTTAAATTATTAAATGCTTGCTCATTCTTGTGCAATGTTTAGTTTAAGAAAAGGATAGCGTATACACATTTTTCGGATTCATTTATTTACAGACCGAAAAATATTATACAATTACTGTCTTTTGATGAGGTAAATATGAGGTTTTTGTATCGCCTTGGCGACAGTCGAAGAATGCGCGACAATGGGATTACTATCCGGCGGCAGCGGCGATGTCGTAAACTATTTGTGCAAAGCTTAAAAAGTTTATAGTTCAGATGGTAGAAGACCTGGATGATTCATACTATGTATGCAGATACCTCATGTTGCGAAGTTTCTGTTTCTTATTTGTCCATTCTCATTGACCTCATTTTCATAGTTCAGTGACTGCTTGAAAAAAATTGTATTTTTTGTCATTTGAAATACTCAGTTATTATGAGTAATAGGATATCTATATTTGGTATAGGGCTTCCTTGCAAGGTCTACATGTCTGTCAGATAGAGTTCACCTAACATCGACCTCATTTTATGGATCAATGATCAAGGTTAACTTTTACATGGTCAAGTCTTATCTCAGATACTATAAATTTTCATGGTTCTGTGGACAAGGATTACTTTTTGTGGTATTGACTTTTTTCAGATATTACATGTATAAGCAATAGGGCCTCTCTTTTAATTATTTTGGATGTATGGAATAATTGTAAGGTGTACAAGTCCAACTGGCAGATTTAATACGACCTTGACCTCATTTTCATGATTGGACAATGTGTAGTGTTTGTGGTTTGCTCTATTTCCCAGATACAATAAGCAATAGGACCACTATACGTTGTGTAATGTGTATGGAATGATTGTAAGGTGTACATGTCTGTCTGACAGGCTTCATATGACCTTGACCTCATTTTCATGGTTCATTGGTCAATGTTAATTTTTTCATGATTTTGTCAGTTTATCAGATACTGTAAGCAATTATAGGTAAATTGTATTTGATGTATGGACTGATTACAAGGTTTACATGTCAGTCTGGAAGGCTTTATATGAACTTGACCTCATTTTTATGGTTCATTAATCGATGTTATTTTTTCATGGTTTTTGTCAGTTTTTCAGATTCTATAAGCACTAGGTCAATTATATTTGGTGTATGGAATAATTATAAGACAGGCTTCATATGACATTGACCTCATTTTTTATTGTTCATTGGTCAATGTTAAGTTTTTGTGGGTTTGTCAGCTTATCAGACACAGTTAAGAAATATAAGTCAACAATATTTGGTGTATGGAGTGAATGTAAGGTGTACATGTCTGTCAAGGTTTATCTGACCTTGACCTCATTTTAATGGATCATTGATAAAGTTTATATGAAACTTGTAGTAAAACCTCCATATTACAGGCTTTCAACATAAATTCAATCATATTAAGTAAAGAAACGGCCAACAGACCAAGTGAATATAATCGAATTTGTTCAAAAGTCAATCACATGGTTACCGAAACAAAAGACAGTAATTGTTATATTCCATATTCTGATGGAGAAAAAATGTATAATAACAATTATTGACAGAAAAACCGAGTGAACGTCAAACATTTTACCGGTATTATACGGGTAAACGCACGTCACGTTAAGCGCAGTGAATATCAGTTTTCTTCGGGTAAATATGCTGTTTTATTCAAAAATCCAATTCGTATAGATAACCCAGCTAAAATAACACCAATATGGAATAAATTTGATTACAGCATTACACATGTAGGTTCATACCCATGAATGAAAGGAGACGGTATACGGATGTACACCAATAAGACGACAACCAAACAACACAGAAACCAAAACACATTTCGAGGTCAACACGTCTTCAAAAATAGGAGGTCGTTTAGGGAACGACCATTTAACTTCCATGGTTTTTTCCTAAAAAAATATTCTGAATCCAGATTTTCCCATACCTTATAGTGTTAAATTTTGAAAGAAAATAATTTGATTGATACGAACGTCGAGAAACTAAAAAAAAAACATGTTCGCGAAATACTTTTTTCTGACTCCGACAAAAAAACCATACCCCCCCCCCCCCTTTGAAGTTAAATGGTTGCTCCCTTATGCAATATGTCAAGCCATGTGAATTCGTCCCGTCCCGAGTTTAGAAGGGAAATGAAGAATTTGAAAGATGTGATGTAACTCATTCACTCACTCATTTGTATTCCCAAATAAGGCAAAGTTTGTAGATGACTTTGTTTTGCGCATATACATTTTTAATGTGAATGTTTACTTAGGTAAGAGTGTTGCTCTTTACAGGGAAGCTACCGAACTCGGTTTATTTTAAGGGCAATTTAATATTCATCTTTAAATTTTTAATAAAGAATATCAATTTTACCAATGCTGTGACCTGCTTTCTTTAGTTTTCGTCGTTTTTTTACCGGTCTTGGAAGCCCACTGAGGAAAAAAGAAATCAACAACCAATATAACGACTATCGTAACATATATGTTGGTACTACTAATCTTGTAACACTGAATTAAGTCAAGCCAAACACATCAATTATTGGTCTGTTATGTTACTTAGTTATTACTCTAAATCTAACTATAAATCATGAGCAAATGACAATAAAATGAAGCATTTCCTTCATTTTTCGGAAGTCTTTAACAGTTTCTATTGTGTAGTTACGGAGGGTCTTGATGGGGTTTATATAATAGAGAATAATGTGCAACAAATGCAGAATAAAGGGGAAACAAATTCAAGAATGGAACAAAATAGGCAAACAAATTAAAGAATATAGAATAATCAGGAGATAAAATATAAAAAATAGAGCCTAATGGTCAAAAGAGAAAAAGAATAGAGAAAAATGGTCTAAAAAATTAAAGAATAACGAAATGAAGGACTCCCCATCCAGGACCTCATTACGGTATGAACAGTGGGTTTAAGGGAAATACTGTGTTTATTGACTGGTCATTTTTCACGCTGTTTGTCCGAAGAATAACTTGTTGATTTGATAAGACCATATCATTGTTATTTGATATTTTCATATAAATTTGAATGCCCTTTCAGCTTACATGAAAGATTAACCGCTAATTTTAGAATGAATTATACACGAGATAACAATATGATCGAATTTCAAATGAAAGCAAATGAAAATTTCTAGACGTACATATTAATTATCTCTTTACAGTTATTATTAATGATTAATCTTTCAATGGTTTATGCCAAACTTTTATTGTTTTTAATAAACGAAATATATTTATTGAGCATCAGTCGCTCCATATATCATATAATGGACCGGACAGACGATTTATAATTACATTGTGCTGTGGTGCTTGAATATTAAAAGAGGAAGCTCAGAAAAAAATCTTTTTTGCACAGTAAAATGCATGAAATGATAAAAGTATTACAGGGTTAAATGTAATAAAGTATCGATTCAATTCTTCCTGTTAACAATAAAGAATGAAACTACACCTTGAAACTATATATTGTTTTGGTACCGACTAGACACGAATACAAGAACAAGGCTAGAATATTTTTGTTCTTCCTCTACGGTTAAAATGATACTCTGCTGTTTTGCTTGAAAATATTAACAGTTCAGTATAATAAAACAAATATGTCATGGCAGTTTGAGCCAGAATGACAGTTTATGGATTGGTCGGTCCATAAATTGCCATATGGCTCAAAATTCATCAATTATTTGTAAGTTGTTAGTTTATTTGGAAAAAATATAACATAATTACAATTGAGGAATTAAGACACACAGCAAGGGAAATACGTTGGTACAATACGAAAGCAAGTGATTCGTTTTGAATTTTTGTTATGAATTGTCATTTTGTTTAACAAAATTACCAATGAAATTCAAAAGAGAAGTGAGACTGGGTGCGTTGGCAGGGTAAGCGTCTCCTGCTATACATGTATCACTAGCAATGCAAATTCATACTTTAATAATTTGAATCCAATGGAATTTTTATTTTTTCCCTGGGATTTTATTTCTTCCATGGGATTTTTTTTGTCCCATGGGATAAATTAAATCCCATGGGACTTAAAAAAATTCCATGTTTTTTAAGTTTAAAATGCAAAAGAACCTTTATAGTCTAGGGCTTTAAAACATGGTATTTAATGAATCCCATGTTATTCTACACATTTTTGATATTTACATGACCCCGTATCTTTAAGAAAGGGCGGCGGCGGACTTGCAAATGAGTGTTTCGCAAATTTAAAGTGTCCAGTGTTCTTAATTACAATGTCACAACCGACGATAAAATTACTGATAAGACGACTATGTCGCTAATGAGTTGAGACACAAGAATATGAATATCGTATCGGACAACCAATTGGTAAGGTGATCGTAAAACTTGTATAGTCAAGATTAGTTCTAAATAAACGGAAATTTTGATTTTCAGGTTATCTTTTCATCATAATTTCCATATTTAGATGCCAGATCGACGGTGAAAAATGCACAATATTTTTGGACAAGTAGTAACTTTTAATCTGATTAGAACAAAGGTTCTGTGTCTACATTTCGCTTACATGGATCTGACAACGCTCCGTACTACTTTTTGATTAAAAGACCTTTCGATATCCATTGGTTTGTCGTCATGATACACCTTCAACAATTTGTAGGCAGAAATTTCATTGGTTGGAGTAATATTTACCAGAACAGAAAGTAGAACAGAGTGAGTGTTTTCAGGTCTTTGTGGGCAAAGCGCAGACACATGATCTATATTTTAATCAGACTGCGGGACTTTAAGCTTGATTTATTTTGTATTGATACACCTTATCGCTATTTATTCCCAATCTGGATAAGTTCTGAAATCACACAACTTTTTCATCCAGTTGAAGCTATCTGGGGCCCTGTTTAAATAATATATTATGCATAAATCTTTTCAAAGAGACATGTTTAGACCATCGTAAACATTTCAAACAAAGTATTTTTATTACTTTGATTTGTGTTTGAAAAAAAGTGGATCATTATCTATCAAAGTTTCAAAATGTTCGCTTTCTAAACCTTTTCCTCCCTCAGCTCGTTACTGATGACCTTTGTTTTTGCGGCGCTAGACCAAAACAGGAAGTTGTCTAAGTGACCGGATTTTTCCGGATTGGACTAAATAGCGATAAGGTGTATTCAAGCATTCCAAGTAACAATTAGTTTTAAAAAAGTTTAGGTAGACGTACCTACATTTACGACAAATTAAAAGATCACATGATTTTGTGTAACATAAGGTATCTGACCCCCCAAAAACAACACTGCCACTTTATAGGATTTTTAAAAAATTATCACTAGTATCATACAATCTTGCATAACTTATAATTTAGGCATATTTTTCAGATTCGAAGTACAAACAAAAATTCAGTATGGGGAAAGCATAGCAGAATATTGCAGAATAAGTTGAAACTTGAAAAGAAGCTAATGAAAACTGTTATACTAATGATTGGTGAGTACTTACACATAGAAAGTTTTTCCTAATATGCATAATATATGTACATGGGGTATGAATGTATTATGATATTGATAAGAGAAGCGAAAGATACCAAATGAACATTCAAACTCTTAGCTTGAAAATAAACTGACAACGACATGTCAATAAACGAAAAAGATCAAAACACCACTATAGAAAATACAACATAGAAAACACGAACCCCACCAAAAAACTGGGAGTTATCTCAGGTGCTCCGGAAGGGTAAGCAGATAAACGACACGACGTTCTGATGGCATAACCTTCCTCAACACCGTTAGAAAATAAAGACTTGAAACGCAAAAAAGATACACAATTCAGAGCATCAAAACCAAAGAATGTCACGTTAGAACAGCCATACATTGCTCAGGCAGTTTGCTGAAGGAGTTCAGTTTCAGTGTTTGTACAATTACGTAATACATTAACTCGTGATTAACAGTCAAAAGGTATGCACGTGTCGAAGCATTTACGTTATGTTACAGATACATAATCACGGAATATGTTTCATTTGTTGTTGCCGTAATTATGTCTAATTCTCCTTCCTCATGAACAATTTATAATCCGAGAAGCTTAAGCGCATAATACAATGTAACTCTTTTTGTAAGTTTTTTTTATATGGAACATTGTATGTAACTCGCTGTGAGATTATTCTCAAGGCAAATTTTCAAACATAGTCATAAAGAATCAACTTGAGCACTCCCATGTCAAAGTAATCTTCTTATCAGCACTGGGTAAACACATAAAGTACCATGCATCATATTAAAATATATGACAGCTTAGTGTTTTGATCAAGACATGTCGTAATTAGCAAAAGTCGTTTTAACGGTACACTATCATAACGAAACAAAATAGCCGATCAATCAATTATGTCTCTACCTAAACAATAATGCCGTGTTCATACCAAACTTCGTGTTGTATTCAATATATCATTCTGAATGTTCTGTAGATATTGTCTTTTATTTTTTTTTATTGAAACTAATCAACTATGACGTCATTTTCACAACAGCCATCCGTATTTAAAAAAAAATACAAATGAGCAAACGTCTTCATGAAGGGTAATCACATTTACATAGGAGTGTTATCATTTATCAGCAAAAAGTTCAGGTTTTGGCAATTAAACCAGAAATCATTCCAAATTCATAACTGCAAAACATCTTCTGAAAGTGTTACTGCATCTGGGAAAATTTGAGATAATAAAACTTTTCCTGTTTTATCCAAACTAATTGTTCTTTTTAGAACAAGAGAAAAGATAAAATATTCATTTTTTACTTATGTAAATCAGATACAATCGTTTCATTTCTTCGCGGGTTTAACTCCCCGCAGATATGAGAAGCTTACTTCTAAAACATACATGGGATATAGTAGAATGTCTCCCTTGTAATCTGTCTGGCATTTAAACGTGAAATATGATAAAAAAAAAAAAAAAAAAAAAAATCACAAATACAGACATTCACTGAAAAAAGTTCAGATAACCACATGCAAGACACAAAGGAAAAAACATCGGTTACACGCTGACAATACAGGACAATCCAATGTTCATAGCAATCCGTGACCCTCGACGACGTTGCATCATCATCATCTCCTAAAATAATCATGTCACGCTCCCGACAATCCTCGTAAACAATGGCCACAACTTTACTCGATTTAAAGTTTATTGATATTAATCAATGGTAAAAGCCACTCGGATAATATTCTTCCTTAATTTCCATAATATACCAAGAGCATTTATGTCACAATATAACTGTCCTACAGAAAGCAACAATGAGGAAAAGTACAATCTTATCAGATGTAGGATGTCAATAAAATATCAAACAAGAGAACAAAACTTAAACTAATGTAAACTTAATAAATGTCTATAATACTATGAAAGGATCGAAAAATATTTCGTATATTCAGAAACAAAACACGTAATAAAACTAGTACAGTGTTAGTTCCCGAGGGTATCACCAGCTTAGTAGTCTGTACGTCGGTACTGACATCACCAGCTTAGTAGTCTGTACGTCGGTACTGACATCACCAGCTTAGTAGTCTGTACGTCGGTACTGACGTGATTTACAACATACCTTTTTAAAGTTCTCCGTTGATAAAAAATTAAGAAATTATTATGGAAAAAAGGTTCAAACTCCTCTGGCATAATTGACCTAAGCTTTAACTATTCTTCATATTTCGCTTGATCATCTAGCTCCTAACGTTTCTATATACTGGTACATCACAGTCTTTTGTGAAGGTTTGAGCCTTGCCGTTGTAGGTAAATCCAGAAAATAGCTTTGGACGCACAACTGAAATTTACAGAGTGACTTTCATATATTTCCATGTACAAGAAAAATAAAACAGAATACTTACTCATATTAAAGGACAGTGGAGGAAAAATTCACAATTGTAATAAAAAAAAAAAAACAACCCACCTTCAATATTATCTCAATATAAGTTTTACTCCCAAATAATGCTAACCCACAATGTTATGGTTCTGACAAATCGATATATTTCAACAATATTTCGAAAAGGATTTTAACAGGACATTGACCTTAGTGTTGGAATACAATTATATCTAATGAAATCATAGTGTCAGAAAAATGAAAGCATTCTATTCTACCATAGAAGACAATACTCACATTATCTGAATTTGATAACTTTTATTATAGAACTAGTGCAATAAAATAATGTGTGATAGTAGTACCCTATTAATCTTATTTTTAAAGTTAAGTAAAATTGTGGTATAACAATCTCCCTATTAAGCTGTTTACAGTATCCATGGCAACCGTCATTTTCATCAAATTTATGAAAAATCAAAAATCAAGAATACTTAAAATATATTGAAATGTAATTAAAAAGTTATATTTTAAATATGCACAATGCAGTTATTCATCAATAAATAAATTAAATATGTTAACATCCAATTACAGCGCTCCAAATAGTGCGGTGACAGAAGTGTAAAAAGTCGTCTAGATTGCGAGTTTAATCTCCCCGAATAACACACGGCTAAAAATGGTCTTAACATAAAGACAAATATGTCTTCTTTATTTTCTGCCCTGTCGTCAGAATTTCGTACGGTCACATTTTTCTAAAAAGTCGTTTTAATGACTAGTAGTATATTGGAATGTTTCAACCCCCCTTTTTCAAAATGAAAATTTGAACAGGTTTGCTTACATTTATTTGATATATTTTTTTCCTTAGTTATTATCATATGTCGAAATATTATATTCAGTATTTTATTTTCTTCTAATCTATGAATTTTACTTAAATGTGACTGTTGAAAATTGAGGTAATTTTATTTGCAAATTCAGACACAAACTTTAGTTTCTTCTTCATAGTACTATTAAAAACTATCCCATGATATTTTAAGCATATAGTACTTCATAAAACAAGTTACTGATAAAAATTTCGGAATCTAAATATGAAAAGGCCTATAGAAACCAAAGGAAAAAGAATAGACTAAAAAACTTAAATTTCAATACGGAACTTGATCACTTCTCTTTCATCACGTTTTTTGTATTATTAAACCTTATGGTCAATAATTTACTCTCAACTGATATATGAAATTACTACATTTTTCGCTATTATATACAAATATTTTCAATTCAGTGCACTAGTATATAGTACATAGTTTGTTTGTATATGTTTATATTCTATTTTTTGGTTATAAAACATCAAATATATATTTGTCAGAAAAGTGTTACTGTAAAAAACAAAATAATTGACGGATAGTTTCAGTTAAAATTCCGCGATATGTACGATTCGTCAAGTCCGTTGAAACTTGCCCCTTCTAGTACTAAGAAAAGACGAAAGTCGTCAAATTTTATGCATTGCTTAATATGCCAAAAACCATCGACTGAACGTTTGAGTCAATTTACAAGTATAGGTAAGTCGACTTTTGTTTCTGCAATGAATAAAAGATTGGATGGTGGAAAAAAAAGCACTCCTCATGACAACGTTACTTGATAAATATAGATCTTTCCTTCCTCCTGATTCTAATCTCAAATACTCTACTTGGAAGTTGCAGTCTAAACTTATTGATTTTTATAGGAACTCAGATGTCATACAAACACAACAGGGTCAAGGCAAATCTAACATCATATTCAGTAGCAACATAACTATTGGAGATGCCATATCAGCTGCTAGTCAATTAAAAACTGACCTCAAAATCTCTGAAATGCAGGCATCAATGTCAACAGTAATAGACACAAATAACGAACAGATATTGCATTTCGCTGCAAGTATACTAAGGAAAGACATCGAAACTCTACAGATTTCCACAGACGAGTACCTAACTTCTGATGAATTGTCTCTTCCTTCTTCAATTCAGTCAATGCTTTCGTCTTTATTGAAATTCATTTCATGGTAACTTGATGATACCGCATACAGCCAAGTATATTCCCAAGAAATGGCACCAGAGAAATTGCGTAAATGCTTGGCAATTGTTGAGTCTATCGTTTCTGTGGCCAAAAACAGTTTAACTCCTTTTCATTTAGGATTGGCTTTACACGTGTATCATGAGTTTGGTTCAAAACACCTTGTTGAAACATTGAATGCCAATGGATTTTGTGCTTCGTATAGTGAAGTACGACGCTATCTAACAAGTGTTGCCAACCATGAAATTGAGAGAATTCAAGATGGTGTGTGCGTCCCCTATAATGTTTCCCAGGTTGCAAATGGTGGGGGTCTTGTTCAAGAAGGTGCTGATAACATTGATTTTAATACAGAAACAATAGATGGCAAAAACATCTTTCATTCAATGGCACAGGCAGTTTTCAAAGTCAGTAATTCCAAAGAATCGTCTATTGAACCGGTTAAGATAAAACCTGGTAATGAGAGATCGTTGACACTGACCGAGGATGCCATGTCCATGATGAATTGTGTTGTTTGCCATAAACTAAAAATTCGAACAGAACCACCCCGAGTTCCTAATGCATATGGAAAAATATTATTTGCGCCACAGATAGAACAAATTCACATGATATGTTATGGGTGCTATTGAGATCTTTGTCTAGAGATATCGATGTACTTGAATTACCTTTTGCATTGCCATCTGACACTCCCCAACTTCCTTTCTGGAGTGGGTACAATAGCACTCTTTCAAATGTTAGGCCAGAATATTCAGTTGTTTCATACCCACCCATAATTGACTCAAAGCCAAGTGATATGTCTACAGTATTTACTACCATGAAAAAATGCTTGGACATGACTAAGTCTATTGGACAAGATCATGCTATCCAGACATTTGACCAACAACTGTATGCAATTGCTCAGCAAGTAAAGTTGGCTTTGCCAACGACATTTGACTGTCATGTCTTACGAATGGGTGGATTTCACACATTATCGTGCTTTATTGCTGCAATAGGTAAATTATGGGGCGATGGAGATCTTCGTGACTTGTTAGTTGATTCATCTGTTTATGCTGCTGCAACTGTGGATCAGATCTTATGCGGGAAACAGTTTAACCGTGCAGTAAGAGGCCTTGCATTAGTTTATGAGGCACTTTGCTCTTTGTGGTTTGGCGCATTCTTTCGTTGGCTTAATGATAAGATTGAAAAACTTCCAGAAAATACATTGACCGTTTTTTCCGCGTTAATGTCATTGTTTCAAGCAGGGAAAACTGTCGAAGCCAAACATTTTGCTGAGGTGAAAGGTTTTTTTGAAACACACATTTTGCCTTTGACTGAAGAGTTCCGGATATGGGGTTGTGAAAATTCCCCCACATTTATGTTCTGAAAACATGTTTATGCAAGCCATTGAAATACTTCTACAGAACGTAAGATCAGAAAGAGAGTGCAATTGATCCCTTCACTTAAGCTCTACTGCTGCAATGTTGCCCTATATATATGTTACAAATAGGATCAACTACTCAAGATGACTACCTGTCTACCTGCTAGATATGCTAGCTTTACCACTAGATGTAGAATTAGCATTTCAACGAGGTGAGTTTTCGATACGTCAAAAGCCTGGAAAGTTCAACAGAGTATAGAGCGACATGGCAACTGAAAAGTCTGTCATAAAAGATTCTAAAGGTTGTAGTAGAATCAGCGGCATAACACGACAAAAGCCAGCCCTGATGAGATGTTCATTGACTCGACATGTGCTTGCAGACTTTACGTCAGAAATGAAAACTCGGTCTGGTTGCATCAATGACAAAAGCGTTGAGCATGATGAGGTAAAGCCAACACATATGATTCGAGATGAAGACCAAGTTCAGAAAATTTTAGACCATGTTCTAGAAAAAATGACTGACCCGTTTGCCAAAGAACTCCATCCCCCATCACTTATAAACATTTCTACTTGAATGCACGCTACATACAGGCCTCTTTGACGTCAGCTGTTGATGATGGTAACACAATGGCAAATCATTTATTGACGGGGCATTTTGTGAAGGCAAGGTTCGTAGTTTCTTTGGTTCTATCCCTCGGTCAAAGTTAAAAACATTTGAGGACCTAACGAAAAAAACAAAATTAAAATGTAGAACAGGTGAAATTTTGAATCTTCACATCAATCCTGAACTCGTGTTCCGTCGAGCTTTGGTGTTAGCAAATAGTCGAGATGACGTCACTGTTGAAAAGGTGTTGTCATTTACGATTGGTCCGATCCCTACAGCCCTTTTTCATGATGATGGAACCATGAGAAAATCATGTAAAGCCGATCTTTGCCATCAACTCGAAAACGAGACATCATATTGTCACTCTCTTCCCGACTTCGATAAATCGCTTACCGTTTTGATAAGGGATGGTATGGCTCTTGTCCAGTGTATCAATGCTAAAAATTTGAAAACATTTGGTAACATGGGGACAGAGATCGTACAATCTCAGCTCCGCTGCGTTTCAAAGGCATCTTCCGTTGTTGATGTCTTTGACAGACATGACGTCAAACTTTCTATCAAAGCCGTGGAACTTGATCGTAGATCACACTTTACAGCAAAGGTTTTCCAAGTTATCGAAGGTCGATCCCTTCCAGACTGGAAAAAGTTTTTATCTTCTAACGAAAATAAGCAAGCATTGCTCCAGTTTCTTGGTAGTTTTATTGTTGGTTACCACACAAAGAATCCTAAAGCACTAGCAAATAATAATGAACTTACGTTAGCTGGAACTTTTTCCGATCTTCAAATCGTAAAACGCATTTGTGATAAAACTGTCAAAGACTGCGTTGATCTTTACAGTACGCATGAAGAAGCTGATACTCGTATGATTTTGCACGCAATGTATGCCGATAGGCAGTTTGGTAGTGGTAACTTCAAAGGCAGGATCATAGTGAAATCCCCTGACACGGATGTTTTAGTTCTTTGTGTCCACTACTTTTCTTCTCTGAAAAACAAAACAGAACTTTGGTTTGAAACAGGAACTGTAACGAGCACCAAGGATGCAAGACGTTTTATACCTATACATGAACTATGCAATTCTTTGAATTCCATCGTTAGTCAATGCTTACCTGCAGTGCATACAATTTCAGGATGTGACACCACATCGGCAATGTTTGGTATAGGTAAAAAACGGTTTTCAAAGTTCTGAAGCAGGTGTGTTGTGATGTGTCCGATTTAGTAAACCTGGCAAACTGTGATGTTGATGAATCTGTTTCAGTTGCAAGTAAGTTCGTTGCTATGCTGTATGACCAAAAGGGTAAATTCAAAAACGTTCACAGTGACCTCAATAAATTGCGTGTAAAACTAGCGACAACTAAAGATGCGTCTCTGGCCAAGCTACCCCCTTGTGAATCAACATTTACGCAACATTTGCTTCGAGCATCTTTGCAGACAAGCATATGGATGTCATCACACCTTCCTAAACCACCTATTAGATCTCCGTTAAATTTTGGATGGATTGATAAGGATGGTTTGAAGTCGGTGTTTTTCGAGGGACAAATGTCTTCGGACTTCCTACAAGAACTTGTTTGTACTTGTAAAGGAAAATCTGTATGCTCAAAAGAATGTGTTTGCTTTGAGCAGAACCTTTCATGTACAGACCTGTGTCCATGCCAGGCAAGTGAAATGTGTACAAATATTAATACACGTCTTGTGATGCTTGCTGAAAATGAAGATTATGGAGATAACGCTTGAATGTGTAGCTTGTTGCACTGGTACACACTGTTTCATGTTATAAGAGGGTTGGCGTGCTTCCAAAATAATTAATCCCCGCCACAATCTGTATGTGTCTGTCTCAAGTCCTGAGCCTGTTATGCTGTGGTTGTCGTTTCTTTCTATATGCTATATTTGTGTTTTTTTTCTTAATTTATTTTGTACATTAATTAGGATGTTAGATTATTCGTTTATTTTACATTTGTTATTTTGGGAATTGAAGACTAAGCAGTATAGGCTTTACTCATTGTTGAAGGCAGTACGGTGACACATAATTATGAACTCACGTGTCAGTAAGTAACTTGTGGAGAGAAGTCTCGTTGGCAATCATACCACATCTTATTTTTTATATGGAATACCTTTGAAGTTTGTGGTACGTTGCCAAGGAAAAAAGGGGGGTTACAGGAACAAAAACGATCATGTAATAGACAAGAACCAGAGTATAATACACAACAGCAGATAATACTATGGAAGCCGCAATAATTGTGGAAGAACAGAAGCAACAAGTATTCTATTAAAAACTATCCGCAAAAATCAATTTGAGGTCATATTTTACTATTGTGTATTATTGCTTTGGTTTGACACTACACCCAATATGATAGTTTAAAAAATAATTTGGAAGTACTGTCCTTCATGACACTTGATTTTAACCTGAAATTGAGATTATTTATAAAGTTACGGTGCTCTCAACATTTTATGGGTTGAAAACTGGATTTTTGCAGTTTTGTTTATAAAACGTCGTTTTAGGACATTTATTATAATAAAAATCGTAATGATTAATGTTTGTGTGTAATAACAAACATTACTAAAGCTAAAACAGTATCGTTTGTATTGAAGTAGAGATAAGAAATAGAAATAAATGTCAAAATTGAAACCCTTCAAAATTTTCACAGATTGGTACATATGACCTTTGACCTCAATTAAAAAAAATTGTGACCATATGAAGTACTGACGACAGGCATATTGTTATAGCACAATGTTTCCTCTTTCCAATGATATATTATATATAGGTGTGTGTTCGGTGGGGAGATTAAAGTAAAAAAAATCTGCCTTCAGTCACCGCACTAAAAGTTGACATTGTTTACCTGAGTAGGATACACCACAGTTCAGTTTCAGGAATTATAGAATAACTAATCGAAGAATTCAAATAGAGAAAAATATTCAACGAGTGACCGAACAACACATTAATTCACGAATGCGCGTAGCGCATGAGTTAATTATCAGTGTTGTTTGGTCACGAGTTGAATATTTTTCGATATTTGAATTCTTTGATTAGTTATTCTTTTTATTACATTGGCAAATGACTTTTTTTAATGAAATTAATGTAGAAAATGTAAGGAACTATATCTTTTTTCTACGCATTCACAATTTGTTTTGATCCGACGTTATCGACGTCTTGACAACGCCTATTGTTGTATGACGTCAGAGAGTGAAATAACCACGTTTATTTCACATGTGAAATTATCGGTTTTTATTTGACTGGGAAATCAATGTAATTCAATGCTACCAATGTAATAATACTTTTTTCCTAGTATATAGTTATATGTAGACAATATACAATATCTCCGAAATTTTAATAAAAGAATCTAATCATTACGTAGATAAGTGCATATCCAAACAAAATGGACAACCCCCTACAATGCACCATCATAATGTAAATCAGTAATGCACACTTCTTTGATTATGCAATAAGATAAATGAGATAATCTGCACTACGAACAGGAACTGTACAAGAAGATCAAATTAACATTAACTCTAGGTAGGAAATAAGAACAGAAGCATTTACATGTAAAAAACCAAGTCTGTCCAAATGACATTTGAACATGGCACGGTGTAGCAATAAAATATTGAATAAAAATTCAAGAGAAGCAAAAACCTCGCACAATAAATTAAGACTTCGTTATGTCGTTATTACATGTAACTTTTGTTTTATTCTTAACTATAAATCCTATCTAAAGAATAAAAGCGTTCACTTGTCACTTATGTCATATATCGTCATAAATTCAAATTAGTGGCATCAATAGTTTTTTTTCCAACCCATTTTGAATGTGACAACAAAGTGAAGAAAACAATGTCGGAATTTCATGATTTCAGACAGTTTAAGATGCTATTGCTATGCATGCTGTGGAATACGGACAGGTCATAGTACAACTATCAGGATAAGTAAACAAGTTCTATGTTTTGGCAGTGTGAATTGATTCTGACATTTATAAACAAATTCTTACACCTTCTTATCAAGATAAGATGAGATAGGAAAAATACTCTACACATTCTCATATTAAAACATGTATGGCGCATATCAAGAAGCTACAGCACTATCTATCGATATTATATTCCGTTCGGTTATGTATCCGAGAATTCTAATAATGTGTATATTGTTAAATCACTACAAATTTAGGACTTCTAAAAATCACTGAAAATATAACATCCGTAGTACTGTTTGACTTTAAAAAAGTTGAAATTTGAAAGATTTTTACAGATTTGTTGGTTAATTCGGGAAATTTAGGGAAACACATGGATGGACATCAATTTTCCCATGGTGAGGTTTTTATTTTTACTGCGTATACTATATTTTAACTACATACAATATTCAACACCCGTGTTTCATATCATAATTTTCGTGAGGGGTATTTCTTAAAAGGAAGGTGCTAGACTACCAGACAAATTGTTAATAGTAAAGTTAATGTCCTCTCTTTAAAATTTTACGAATCATCATGACTTTTTTGACTACTATGGAATAATTGCATTCAAATCACAAATGACAAAGAACTTGATTAATTAGTAAATTCAATCCCATCCGTATTTCTTAGTTTCGGTTATCAGCGAATGGGATACTTTACCGAGGTTTATATTTCATGAGCAACAATACAATTACGCAAGAACTGTTAAAAATTCGAGAGTACAAGCAGTCCGTCCCGTGTTTTAGGGAAATGATGTAATAGAAAAGCAAAGGATATGGGGTATCCATCCATGACACAATATCAGTACATGCACAGCAAAAACACACAAAATCAAAGGAACAACGCTTTTATTGCTGTTCTTCATCGCAAAGTCAAAGTGAGGCCTTCAACACGGAGCAAAAGAAACTCACCTCAATGCAATGTTAAGACGGTAACTAGCACCGGTTGCACTTTCTTTAGCTTTTTGGTATAGAGGTTTGTGAAATTGTCTTTTTTTATTTGGATATGGAGTTGTTTGTCGTCCCTAAGACAAACAGCTAGTTTAATCGAAGAGATGATTTCATTAAGAACATTTTGTTCAAACTCTTCCTTCTCCTAATCAACAATCCTATATTGAAAAAAAAAAAGGAAATGTAATACCTGGAATACGTATCAACCGCTTGATATCGATTCGTTATGCAGGTGCTGTTGTAATGTCGCTTCATTAAGAAAGAAAGTTCTGTGAAAATGACATCATCACGATTTTCCATTTTTTGATTGCTAATATATTCTTATATTGGATGGCGTGCTTTTCAACAGACAATCGGAGAACTGTGTCAACTTGTTCCTTTATTCATATGAAACTGACGTCATACATGAATATCCCAGGAATAATGAACAGAATCTAGCATTATCATTTCACTTCACGTTTGAACCAAGGTTTTCTACTAGTAAAGCTGAAATCATCCCTTCTTTTCGTTTATTAGCACTGGGTCGATACTACTGCTGGTTGACTGATAGTCTCAAATTGAAACTCCAGCTTCTGTACTGACATAATTTTTAATTAGAGTTGTCAACTGAGTAACCGGTTAACCGGTTAACCGTAGGAAGGTTGGAATATCAAATACCAAAATCATTAACCGGTTTATCGGACCTTTTTTTATAATTTCCAGAGATGTGATATAAATGTTTATTGAAATCATAATAACCCCAATAATAATGTCTTAACATGATCATCGTTGGACTTAATGAGATTAATTACATAAAAAGTACATTTAGAACTTAATTAACAATGAATACATTAAAATTTTACCTTAATCAATAAGCACGAAGATATTTTGTCGAGTATCAGTTTGGGACAAAATCTTAAATAAACATAATTTGTAAAGGTGAGTAAAAATATACATTTAACAGTTGTAAGCTGATCAAATTTTACGATTTAGTTGTTTATTTCATTTTAAGTTAATATTAAGTAAACAATATATAATGTAAATGCAAATCATCTACATCCCAGGCTTGATCATATTTCAAACGAAATGCTGATTCAAAAATTTTGAAATGCAAACTTAGTGTGAATGGTCGTTTCAATACTATGCAGCCATGAACTATAGGAACTATATGTTTTAGGAAAAGGTTTGACGATAAACATTTATAAAACATCATATTATATAACCATACACCGTGATAAAGTACTGCAGATTTTAAATTAAAAATTATTTCAATAGACAGATTTTGCAATAGAGGTCGACCAGCATGAAGGGTCTCCCATTTGGAATGTCTACTGGAAAATGAGGATAAATTCAATAGGGACAGGACATCTACGGACCCTTTAAAGACTCCATTCTGACCTGACGTTACTGTGAATTCATACATTCCCACTTTTGCAAGTGTTTTACTGAAGGTTGGAAGAAGACCAAAAGTGACCATATTCCTTTACCCCAGTCACCCTTAGGGTACATTTTCTGTGAGCATTAACTTTCATACTGGATAACTGGATAATCGGTCGAAAGATTATCCGAGTAACCGGTTATGTAAAAATGTTCAATTTGACAACACTATTTTTAACAAACCTTTTATATGTTCTTTGTGATAACTTTAGAAATTATTATGACAATAAGGTTATTACTCTGATCTTGGATGAATATGGCTATTTTTATAGATCCCTTTTGGTTATATAGCTCGTCGCATGGTTAAATACTCGAACATCCATGACTTTAAAAAAAATTGTGTTTGAACGAAACGGATGACGGAAAATCCCGAAATTTATAAGTGTTATTGTCATTCGAACGTTTTACTGTGATAGAATATCTGTGTTACAGATGACTATGGATATGTTCCAATACTAGCCCTTTTTAACCCCAAGCATAGATAGCCTTATCGGTTAGGCAATTGTTTCGGAATTTTTGGTTTTCATTTCTCTTTAACATCGTATTTGATTTTGTATTATGATAATGCTTGATTCTGGCGCCACATGATTCGTATGTAAACTAAACTCGTGTCTGGAGAACCTAATTATAAGACTGGTGTCTTTGATGAGGTTTGTTTCCCAATTTTCTTCTACAATAACATCCTCTTTCCCTCGATGTTGACACTCTGGAAGCGTCGTATTACACAACTGAACCACTGAATGCGTTGTTTCACATCATTGAATGCGTCGTGCATGTATAACCGAATTTTTACAATGTAAGAGCAACGCGACGAATGTAACTAGTGGATCAGGATCTACTTACCCGTCCGGAGCTCATGTGATCATACCCATTTTAATTTTTAATGACGGAGGGGGTAGGGGTGTTTGTGTTGCCCAATCTTTAGTCTCCTATGTTGTGTTTTGAAGACGTCTGTTCGTATGTTTTTACTTTTTTTGACAAGTAGTTATCTGTCTTTTGCAGACTTATGCTTTTTAATTATTCCTTTTGGTATTTTCGGTCTCTCATGTTACCATTACTTTCCTTTCATTGGAAATATTGATATCAACAAATTCTCTTCCCTTAAACCAAATCAACTTGTGATTTATAATTGTCTTTAAAGAGAAAAAAGATCTTATTTTTTTAGGTGGACAGAGGGCGTTTTTTTTTTAATTTAATTTGTTTGTATAGGTGTTATTTTTGAGGTTGTTACACATAATTTGCCAAGAAATAATTTCTTTCATATTTTTTTTTATTTAAAGGTGCTTTCTTACTTTCATGGACACCATACGCAATTGTTGCATTCTGGAGAGCATTTGGATTTGGAAGTGTTCCAGTCATAGCCAGTGGAATTCCTGCGATTCTTGCTAAAACGTCAGCTATATGGAATGTTTTTATTTATACGTTCAGTAATACACAATTTAGAGATGCTTTATACCAGTTGATTCCATGTCAGGATTTACGAAAGAAAATGATTCCGTCAAATGACACTTCTGAATCACCAGATAAAACTAACCAACCTAGTGGTGCTCAAAGGAAAGAGTTGCTCACATGCAGTGATGATAATGAATGCATACAACTGGAGAAAGTAGAAACATAAGGCTAAAATATAACATACAAATTGCGGTCTAAAGAGAGAAAAATGGAATAAATCCTTTAAAAATGTTTAGTAGCATTTTCAGCTACGCAGTCATGTTTACAGTTATTTATTTGTTTGACTTCTTGAACATGTTTTTGTTATTGCAGATGTCAGATGATTTCCGTTTATACAACGCGGTTCGTTTTTGTTAACCATCATATAATTAGCTTGTTGTTAAAATTTTTTTTAAAAGTTATTTTAGTTTACATGTACATGTAGAAATAACAAAAAAAACATGATACTAGGATAAAGAAGCACCATTTAGATTTAAATTATGACTATTTATTTCCATGCAAACTTCGCCAATATAATTGTTAAATCATCTTTCACTTGGTTTTGCTGATCATTTATATAAACATTGCTTCAAACATTACTGTACAGATGAACCTGTGTCATTGTATTCTTGGAAATGTAGAAACACACACATTAAGTTATGACTTCTATCAATGTAACTGCTAAACTGTAAAAACGTATCAATTTGGTGTAACACTGTATCATTTTATTTAATGTATTGTTGTTACTGTCTGTTATAAATTATTTTTGAAAGTTACAAATTCATTTGTAGTTCTTAAAATCTGAGTACTTATGAGATACATTTTGTCTCTGTTGAAAAAGAGTGGCGGATGAAACCAAAGTCGGGAGGACTAAAACAGGTATTAAATTCGATGAGAGACAAAATCATGACAAAAACGAAAAACTACGAAAAGAAAAGTACTCATTCCAAGTACTCCGGAAGAGTAACCATATCCTGTCCACATGTGGTAACCATCGTGTTGCTCATTGTAAGTACTCATTCGATGTGAATTATCGTTCGGTGATGTCACAATCTAGGAAAAGAGATTAGGGGAATGGATATGACAATCTGTGACACAGATATTCCATAACAGTCAACACTTGGTCATTTTGGCGTCCGTAAAATTCCGATGAGATTACTTCAAATTTTCACTAAGAGTCCTTGGTTCAATATATTCCTTGTAAGTAGCAACTCTCTATCAAGGAAATCATGATTTGAAACCCAAGCTCTAGAATATGGTATCAACTGGGAGATAAATACTTCCTATGTAGGCTTTGGTGAAATGTTGCTACATATACAAATGGAATGATCAAAATATGAAAGCTGAAATCGTAAAGTTTCGTCCTCAGACGACTCTTATGGTCAATTTCTAAAAGTATTTCAAGATATGAGAAGCTTTAAAAGACTCTGATATATGGTAGAATATTGTTTTTCTTTAATTGTTTAACATTTCATACCGATTTAACATGTTACTTTTATTATTCTACCATTAGTTTATCTATTTTGTATTTACATTGTATCATAGGTCAAATTTATTTGTTCAGTGTATGTTCAATGGTGTTAATATGTCCTTTGATTGAGTTAAGCTATTTCAGTTGATATTTTATAGTGTGTCTTGCTATGTTGTGATGTTACACTATTGTTACAGAAAAAGGGTGAAGGTTTGGTACCATTAAAACGTTTAAACCCGCTGCATTTGTTTGCACCTGTCCTAAGTCAGGAATCTGAGGTTCAGTAGTTGTCGTTTGTTGATGTGGTTCATAAGTGTTTCTCGTTTCTCGTTTTTTATATTTGGCCGTTGGTTTTCCCGTTTGAATGATTTTACACTAGTATTTTTGGGGCCCTTTATAGCTTACTGTTCGGTGTGAGCCAAGGCTCCGTGTTGAAGACCGTACTGTGACCTATAATGGTTTACTTTTATAAATTTTGACTTGGATGGAGAGTTGTCTCATTGGCACTCATACCACATCTTCTTATATCTATTATGTAGCATCAAACTAAATTAAATAAAAAACATTCATTATGTATCATCGCACGTTTGACCGTATATCCACCTTGTTAATTAACAGATAAGCTAAAGTCTCCGATTAGTCTCAACAGTTGAACCAGTATTAACAAGGCGTTTTAAAACTTTTAATCAAAGTCATATGATCCTTCTAGGCTTTCAAATATTCGAGCGTTCCTAATGAAGGTAAATCAGAATAGCGCATCGGACGCATGAACTTTATAAAGTGTTGTTTTCTTTTTTCCTAATTAAACAAATAAGATTAATAAACAATTCTTTTATTTTATTAATATTTTTAGAAATGTACTGCAATTGAATTATTGTCTGCCCGAACTTAAGTTAGCGGCCAGCTTTTTGCGTATGCAATGATGTAACCTTGACAACTCTCGTGTGAAATGTAGCGTTCGCACAGCGCACGTGCTAGGGAAAACCCGTGTCTGAAGAAAGAATAAACAAATGCGGAAGGAAGATATTATTAACATATTTTTACATTTTGAATACTCATGCACAGGACAAAAAAGATTGAAACAATAATGACTACCATAATTAATGTAGTATTAGCAGATCTTTTAGATAAAATAGTTGACAGTATACATATAACATCCTTTTATTTTAAAAATATCACCCATAGCTTAAAGTTTAAAGGGAAGAATTACAAAAACATGATGTAGATTCTGGAGTAGATAGAAGTTTTATAAATATAACCACATTTACAAACATAGTTAAAAAAGATATTTCTTTTGAGTACATTTCATAATATGTTAGATACAATTTGTCGAGATATTTCAAAGTAAGTGAATTGCAAAGTACACGTAATACAGATCCACATTCGTGTGATACTATATTTATCCCTTGCGACGGGTAATGACAGCAATATCTAAATTAGAATATTAGAAGTAAGCAAGACAATTTGACCTTCATGGTTTTGACAAATGGAGAATATGATCATCAAGCTACCCACATTATAAAATATATGAACTAATCCGGAAAGTACAAATCAACTCAAAATTGGAAATTACATAATATATAAAATGCGAAAGTATCAAAAGAAAACAATTATATAAAAGCGCACCAATAAATTGATGCATAAAGGATAACACTTTCCGAAGAAGTGGAATTCACCCCATTTGTTTTAGTAGGGTTCTTGTTGTTCATCTAAGTATTTTATGGATGTGTTCATCTTTTGGTCGTTATTCATGGTTTTCCGTGACGATGTCAGTGTTTTTGCTGACTTCTTTCGAATATTTACATAATTGTTGTTAATAAAGACACTAATTGTAACAACACATTTATTTTTACATTAGAGTAAACAACAGCGCAAAATTAAGCCCTACAATGTACCATTTATTTGTAGAAAATCGGAAGTATAAAAAAATATATATGAAGCTGAAGCATAAAAAATCGAAATTGACAAAATTTAAAGTAAAATAATATGAAAGGGAAATAAGCTTATAATTGTTTACGCCAGACGCTTGTTACGTTTACGAAAGACTCACCAGTGATGCTCGAATCACAAAAGTTAAATGGCGAAATGTCGTATGAACTTTAGACAAAATGAGTTCAAGTGTGGCAACTGAATAAGCACCTTCGGTTAAGCTTCTTATGCAATCCATCACCAATCGTTCGATTCTAAATACATGTAAACATACAGCAGTTAATGTGATTGTTCAGAACGAAATACAACCAATAATAATATCGGAGGCAGTAGTGAATCTGTTGGATATCAGTGTGAAAGTGATTCTTGTAATTATAGCCTAGTACAATATAAGGATCCACAAATCATTGATTGCATCGCAATCAGAAGACGTTTAAGATGGGGGGTTTAAATCGTCTAATCACGTAATACCATGACGACCATGTAGGATTGACTTTTGTTCCTACAATTACAATAATTAGCACATTGTAACTTATGAAGACATGACTTTACCGATTTTCACCGAAATCGATCATACAACAAGACCGAGTGCTTTAACATTAATTTGTAAACCTCACTTGTAATGAAAGCATCACCTGCCATGCAAATCCACACTCCGTCAAATGAACACATCATAGATACCAGGATTGAAATTTTGTATTTGCGCCAGACGTGAGTTTCGTCTACAAAATGTCACAATCGGGAATAGGACACAATCAGTAAAATTACATAGCAGATGACTATACGGGTATCTGAAGATCTAAGACCGCGAAAACATGTCGCCATTGACTCGTTTCTCGTTTTTTATATAGATTAGACCGTTGGTTTTCCCGTTTGAATGGTTTTACACTAGTAATTTTTGGGGCAATTTATATCTTACCGTTCGGTGTGAGCCAAGGCTCCATGTTGAAGACCGTACTGTGACCTATTTTGGTTTACTTTTATAAATTTTGACTTGGATGGAGAGTTGTCTCATTGGCACTCATACCACATCTTCTTATATCTATCTAAAGACACATCTTAACGGTCAGCCCATTCGTGATGATGACCGTATAACCTATGTAGTTTTGCTTTCATTCGTTCTTTCTCATAACTCTGTTAGAGCTGTTTGATATGTAATGAGCAAAACCCTGTTTCATAGTGTGTACAGACAGGAACGTAACTTCTTACTTCTTACTTGGGATATGTAAACGCAATATGACGGAGATGAGGGTATATTACTGATGAAAAATGGGAAGTTGAAATCATCACGTTTGTAATAGATTCTAGTTTGAGGTCGTCAATCTGTATCAATACCGAGGAGAAGATCAAGATATGATGAGACATTCGTCGTTCAGTATTATCCTTAATATCAAGTTCACTTGGATATTTGAAATGTAAGCATTCATTGAATTGAGAGATTTGACATGATCAATATATCTGAAAGTGAAATTAAAGAACTTTGCAAGATGTTTTTTGTTTTTGTTTTTGAGAAAGTCGCCATGAGTTAAGATTCATATGAGTACACATACGAATCGGCTAGTAGTGGTGCACAATTAGTACACATTGTAATGATCACTGCTGCTTTAAATATCAATCCACAAAAACTCATCATATATGTTGTCGTTCAAAATGTAGCATTTTGATGATATTATCTTCTCGGTTTATTTGTTGTTGGATTGAGAGTGGTTCCTCACAAAGTAAAGTTTGTCATGACCCAATACAAGGATTTTGTATCTGAGGTTTCTATTTTTGTAGACAAAGCTCTGTTTATTGAGACGATGAAACACATATCTAGAGATGACGCATGATACATATTCAATATAACACAAATCTATGAAGCAGACCGCCCAGTCACTGATATTTGATTTAGTTCAAGATACATGGTAGACATTA